TTGCTTCCTTGCAAATCTTACAATTGTATTGTTTGCATATTGTAAAATATTAATACAAGGAAGTGCCCTGCTAGCATGCCTAGGCATTTCTGGGATAGATAATGATTTTGGTTTGGATTTTTACCCCGGAAGGGTTGAGCCACTTCCAGGATAACCCACGAAAAGCAGTTCGTCATCTAGGGACTCTCTGTCCTTTTTTTTCCATTGGGGTCTCAGTCTTGTTCTCCAGATGCAACCGACACCAGTTGACTAACACTCAGTACCCTATTGCCCTTGCTAGGTAAACAGAAACAAAAAGGTTTTAAGGAAACAAGCCCAGTGTTTCTCTAACCCTTGCCGGGATCGAACTACGGACACTCAACACCGTGTGGAAGAGAGAGCATTGCCTAATTCTCCTTCATGGGATTATATCCCTGTTGGTGCCTTGATGTTGGTGAAGGGCTCTTGATCCAAGTCATGGGAGTTACCCAACTCCCACAGTTCTAACCTGATTATCTCTATTTACCAAAGTTACTAACCCCAAGAAGTTTTAACATTCCCCCTTGAATATTCTAATAATACAAAATAAATAATAATTCAAGACTCAAAAAGTTTATTTTTAAATCTTTAGATTACAATGCATGAATAATACTGTAATTTGTATTTCATCTTGAATAATTACAATTTCCATAACTGCCCTTCACACTTACCCTTCGCACATTCCTACTTTTGCCCATCCCTTCCCCTGCAGTGCTCTATGCCCTTTCTGAGTTCAGAGTGCTAAAAATTATTAAAAATAATTAGCAAAACAGGATGCCAAAGCCCATGATGATCACTCCGTCAGTCAGTTGTTCTATCTAGGCTGGAATTTTGCTGCAGCACTAACAGCACCTTTCAAGGCAGGTGAAATTGCTGACCTAGAAAACGTACAGAGAACCTTCATGGCACAACACAACTGCGATAAAACTCCTCAGTTACTGGAAACACCTAACCGCAACCTGTAATTCCCTAGAATGCAGACGGAGAGATACATGATTAAATACTACTTGAAAATCCTAAAGGATAGTACCAAACTTGCACACGAACATTACTCCCTATGAAAGCAAAAGGCTGCAGATGCTGGCAACCATCCCCCATGAAAAGCAGCACATTGCACTATTCAATGATATGAGACAACACATAAGTGTCCCAGGGGCCCAAGATGTCCAACTGCCTTCCCAGCATACATAAGGGCTGGACAGGCACCTAAAGTCAGGTAAACGGGATCAGCCGGGCTGTGGTTCGTACATCAGGTAGCGGTGCGCCAACAGTAACCGCCTGGTTTGATCAGGCCTTGATCACCCACAATGAACCTGGTCACAGACCGGGCCATGGGGATAGTGACCCTCGAAACCCTCTTCAGATATAGTCCAGGTAATTCCAAAATTATTATATATGAAAGTGTAAATAACTCAGTTTACCTTATTCCTATCACATCTATTGTAACTGCTTTTCACATAGTTAAGTCACTTAGCTGTTTTATTTTTTAAGGTTTCAAAAATAAGATATTACAACACCTCAATAGAAATAAGTTACTTTGTCTGACTTTTTTGAGTTATCCTAGGTAATCTACACATACGCTGCTATGTATGATAATGTATGTAATTGTATTTGTGTACTAATACAGGTCAGCCATCACTTATCTGGCATCATTGGGACCTGTAGTGTGCCGGATTAGTGAGTTTGCCGGATTACAGAGTGGTTAGGTTAGAATACACTCAATTAACCTATCAATAGAGAGACTTTCTGTTACATCTTCATTTTCATCACTGCTTTCTCCTCTGGCTTGCTGCTGTGGATTTACAACCATCTGCACAATTTCTGAGTCAGTATAATGATGAAATTTGAAATTATGCTAGCCGAAATTAGTACCGGATTACTGATGGAACCGAATAACTGATTGCCCGATTAGTGATGGCCGACCTGTACCTGAATAAACTACTTATTCCTGGCCCAAATTACCTTGCAGTACATAGGTACTTGAAAGTTATTTATCTATTATGGGGTTGCATCCTGGGGAAAAGGACCAAAAGACATCAAAGAAAAAAAGCCACAGTGATGGGCATTCTTGGTTTAGTAACCCTCCTGGGTTAATAATTTGGACAAAGTTTATTTCTTCTTTTGCATGATCACACTTATATGTTGTTATATACAACACGTGTGTAAAATGCACAACAATGACGTATAATTAAAAGCAGGTTATTATTTAAATTTTTACAATGGTCTTGTATAGTAACTTATATGTATATTAACTTAGGATAAACCAATAAAGTATAATACTGTACTGATAATTTGTTTGCCATATCTGACATATATTACAGATATGCTTCTTAGCCAGCCCTCACTTCAGCTAGTCAGAGGTGTGTGGTGTCTACACTTTCATTCTGCTCCAAACAGTGACATTCCAGGTAGTAGACTGGTAGACAGCAACCAACTAAGGAAGTCAAATGAATGTGAAGTGAAAAACCTTTTTTTTTTTTTTTTTTTTTTTACTCTGGCAAGATTGCTGATCTTTTCTTTCTACCTCATGAATATGTAAGAGGATAGGTAAATCTTATAAACTTATGCTTACATTCATTATAACAATACCTTTACTTTCCCATGTGCTTTTTAATACAATAGTTTTTAATCCTGTAATATTTCCTTTTTATCCTAGGAGGCCTGGTCTGAGACCGGGCCATGGGGAAGATAATTTCCAGAACCACTAACAGATAAACGATAACAGATAAGATACAGTACAGGTATTTGCAGAATTGCGGTAGATAGGGGCGTGTATCTCTTAATGGTTTCAGGATCATCACCACCCACAGCTCAATCTTTGACCAGGCCTCCTAAATTGGAAAGGAAACGCTAGAGGAATGAGAACTATTAAATAATGCAAGAAAGTAATTGTGTTCTGAAAGCAAATAGAAATTTTAAGATTTACCTTATTTCATTTTTCTGAGCGAAGAAAAGACAGCAGTCCGGGCAAACAAAACATTTTCAGGATCCTTTTAAACCCATTTAATTTAAAATTTTGGCAAGAGGTGTCCCTCCCTGGTGGAGTTGTTATAACCTATGTACTCTGTCTTCATTGCAAGAAAATTTTCAGTAAACGTTTTCAAATTTCATATTTAACAATAAAAAATTGGGGTGTTACTTACCCTGTTATTAAGTTCTCTGATTATTTGTTCAATTGTGGCCATTTTTTATCTTCTTTTTTTTACTGAGTCAAAATGTAAAATAGATGTGTCGGGGTAAGCTCTAAAGTTTTTTTTTTATTTTTTAAAAAACCCACAGACTTTTATTCATTAATAGCAAAACATGGAGATGATAAGTGGAAAAGTCCTATTGTGCAATCAAAAATTTAAAATAATTGGTTCATCAGTTTTGTAAATCATTGAAAATTTTAAACAAATGGCATGAATTTCGATTTTTTGGTGATAGATGATAGGTGAAAACACTTGGGCAAAAAAATGAATAGCCGAATTTCCATATTTTTTGTCATCAGAGGTCAAAATTAGATTCAATTTAGCTATTTTCCCAATACATTTTGTACTGTATTAGGTCTTGGGATAAATCCCCTTTAAATAGTTTTCATTAGGGTTAAACATTGAATTTTGAAAAATAACCTTCATTGACTTGTTTTTTATTTTTTTTCCCTTTTATCAGTAAGCAGATAAATTTAGTGCCTCAACGTAACCTGATAGCTTAATGTCACATTATAGGGAAAAAAAACACTGCTTACTAACCTAACTAAGTTTAAAACCCAAGTGCATTACCCTAAAAACATAACCAAATCACCCGGGTTATCCCTAACATCATGTAAATATGGGCTATAGTGCTCCGCAAGCAGAAAGATGCCCCTCATCCCCACCCAAATTGGAAAAGTATCAACTTTTCCCTGGAACTGTTTAAAAAATTTTTCAATATAGAATTTTAAAAATGTAATTTTGTTGACAGGGGAAAAAGGGGTTTTAAGTGTCCTTTTGGATTTTAGTAACATTACAAGAAGAACATAAGAAAGGAGGAACACTGCAGAAGGCCTGTTGGCCCATACTAGGCAGGTCCTTCACAATCCCAAGTGGGAAATTTATTTCCATTGCATTTTATCACGGTAGCCTTCAGTTAAAGTAAGCCTTTCAAATTTAAGTAGAGTTTGAAAATAAATTAGCATTTTTTAAGTTGAAATAACATGTAAAAATCAACATTTTACAAGTAAGGTTTCTTTGGTTAGATCCTAACCCTAAATTTACTGACACAATACCACTCGCACATAACTATTCATTACAGGCTGGCAGGAAAGATTGTATTGTGATACAGTCTAGCCTAGAAACCTCTATCATATTTCACTAAATTTTTGTGCAAATGAGAAATGGTTGTATGAAATTTTATCTTGAAAATGAAGTTGTAAGCCAAAATTTAAATTTTGCTGCACTGTATCCTGTGGCTTTTTCTCAGTAATTATTTTTAGTATTTTTTAAACTCCATATTTCCTTCTTCACATCTTTTTTTTTTTTTCTCTGCTTTGACAAGTAGATACAAGTTGCGTGTATGAGGAAATGACAAAGTGGCTTGTTAATGCTAACCTGGCAAATCCTACTTATTTTAGATAAATCTCAGCAAAAATGTTCCTTACCAGATATTGAAATAAAGCAGCTAAAGAAACCGAGAATTTTTTACTTAAAAACTCTAAATAATAAAGTGGTGTCCCTAAACTTGTTTTAACTGTATTTGCTCATTCAGTGGTATAAATCATTTTGTCTTGATTACCTGGTGGTACTGTATGGACAAATTTTCCATGTAAGCATTTAGTTTTCTTCCCTTGTGGTTATATTACTTAAAAGTGGGCAAATTGGTTATTGTATACTACTGTACTATTGTATGATTTATTTTTGAGTGTGTAAACTTAAACAGTATTCCACACTGGTTTCTCATTTTTTGTTTTGTTTCATTATCAATATCCATTAAGGGAAACTCATTTCTGCACTTATCCACTCCAGACCTCTTTACAACATAACTGATGGAAATGGACGGGAGTTTAAAGAAGAATGAAAATGGTGAGTTGGAGAGGAAAACTAGAGTAACGTTAAGTTTATGGACACCCATTTACATTTGAGTTTTTGAGTGTATATTTTATATTTGTGACTTATTTTGAGAGTTTTGTACAGTTGCATTCTATGCTTCATTGGTGAACTATATGGATGGACTCTGATGATGACCTTTCTTTTTTTTATCTTGTTGGAAATTTTGATTTTAGCCAATATGTTTTCACTAGCTTGCAGTCTTAATGCTCAATAAAAAATAGTCACACTTTTGGTGGAAAAAGAGAAATAAATGGGGTAACAGTACTTTAACTATTGGCTCTAATTTTAAGAGTATTTATGTACTGAAGGTGTACATGTTAAAACATGCACTATGAGTATTCCTTTTTACTGTAGAATTGTTTCAGTGTGTATGCAAACTAAATCAAACCTATAATAATACAGTATGATAATTTCCCTAAACTCTGCTTGCAAACTTGTGTAACACATACCATAGTATTAACTAACTCATTGATTTTTATCTGTTATTGAACAAAGTGCAACTCAGCCTCTCTGCATGCAGAAGTTCAAGTTTTGAACAGTATGATAGCTAAGATATAAATTGCCAGTGCTACTTTACAAATGTCAAAAGCAATTACGTACATCAGAATATAAAAATTTCTGCAGAGGTATCCAGAAGTGAGAAATAAAAAAAACATTTAATGTTTGTAAATATCTTACATGGTTAAGACAGGAAATATCTAATGTGAGATATCACAAACCTTACTTTACAAAGGCCTGCAGCACCTGGTCATGCCATGAACCAGCTTTTAGTGCAGACAACGAGTAAGCAGAAAATGAGGAATAAAGTATACAAAATAGATTAGATTTGGTTTCACATATATTCCCACCACTAGAACATGCATTCAGTCTTTATGCATTGTGTATATAGTTCAGGGACACATTAAACCTATTAGTGAATAGTTCTGAAGAGTAATAATGAGAACACACTCCCTACTACAGTTATTGTACATTCATACAGAATGACAGAACTGTTACGGAGTGACCCAGTCAGAGGCACGAGAGGGTTTGGTTGTTTGAGGTATTCCTAGATGTGAGGTGACCTTTCCCAGGCCACCAACTATCCATCTGAAATCTCAGAGAGCTGTAGCACCTTGTTAGCCACCCCATGCTAGGATGGTCAGCTCCTAGAAAACAATGACTAACTGTGCTTCCAACTGGCTAAGATGACATGTAAGAAAGTGGTTGTATGTGAGGTGTGTCTAATACAGAACAAATGCCCCATAACACATGCCACATGAGATAGGAAAATGTCTAATGTAAGAGAGACAGTAAATATTTAATATGGGAAAGGCAGGAAGTATGTAATGCAAATAAAAGCTATTGGAAGTTAACCCATAAATGGTCCAAGCAGATCTACGTTTACGTGTGTAGTGCTACAAAAGTAGATCTACGTTTTTTTACATATTTTCAAATATAACAAAAAAAAAAAGTAGATCAAAGTTTTTTACACATTTTCAAATGTAAAAAAACAAAAAGATCTACTTTTTTTACATACTTTCAAATGTTGAAAAAATGTATATACTGTATACGTTTGGACCGTTTACGGGTTAATCAGGATTGTGCCCAGTCAGATCTTAAGTTTTCCCTGGTACAGTATGCTCCAGTGCTTCTAGTATTAAAAGATTTAGGATAAGGCTATTAACCCCTAAATGGTCCAAACGTTATGTATATACGTTCTCTCGCCCAGCGCCCCGAATATTTTGAAAAAAAAAAATAGTCTTTTTTTTTTATAGAAATAAAGAGCACATTTTTTTTAAGTGTTATAGGATAAAAAATTTTTTTAGGGTCACTACTTACCGAGATATGAGGCAGCAAAGTTGGCACTTGGCGATCACCTGACAGCAACATGGAGCGATGCTGCTTGCAGGAATTCTACATATTTACTGTTTTCTTCCATTTTTTTTTTTTTTTAACCCTTTCAGGGTCCAAGGCCAAAATCTGAAGTCACGCACCAGTGTCCAAGAAATTTTGAAAAAAAAAATTATTTTTTCTTACAGAATTAAAGAGCATATTTTTGTGAAGGTAATAAAACAAAAAAAATTAGAATCTGATCAGTACTTACCGAGATACAGTCCCAAGAAGTTTGTAGAAAATGATGTGGTGGCGGCAACATCGACGAATTCCACATACGCGTATTATATTATTTTGTTGTTTTAGTTGTTTTTTCTTTTCTTTTCCAATTTTTTTCTATTCCTACTAACATTTGGGGCCTGAGAGACCAATACTGTATATAATGTATTATATATAAACTCACTGTATTGAACACAATAACCGCACTAAAGTTATTATCATATTATTGTTTACCACTGTTGTTTATTACAATAAACATGCACAAATATTGTATAATACTAATGTTCTTCATATATTTACATATTTACAATTCACGGGACATGGTTTTAGAACTGTGGAGCTGTGGACCCCTTGAAACAAGGCCCCATGCACAGAGGCACCTTACATTCCTCACACATAAACCGAGTGTGTCTTTGCGTCTTTGTTGCCGTCGTTTTGTTTGTGCACAGACAATCCCATCTCTCTGAGCAAATTTCTTTTGAGTTGAAGGAAGCTGTATTATGAAATGATCACCTTCTCTTCTCAAACGCTTGGGTATATTTTTGATGAATTCGGGGACCTGTTGTATTGCAGGTGTTGTTACCTGGTACTTCATTATGGTTGTCTGACAACAGACAAACAAAATTCACCATACGGTGGTCTGTTACCAGTCTTTATTTGGTACATATATATGCATTCAGCTTTGAAATGTCCATGAGATGGAAGAAAAGTTTCATGTACCACTTGTAACTTTACGAAACACAGTCAACAAAACCAATCTGCATGTCACACTTGTCACCAAGCGCATGTTTTGTGTATAATCAATCACTGTCACTGGTTTTCGAATAGTTCATTGGTCACTCGATCAACTTTGCCACTGTCTTGCATTTCATTACGGTGAATGGTTGTCAACAATGTGAATCTCGTTTGTCATGCCACCGTAATGCCATGATGTCATTGGCAGTAAACACCTGCACGTCATCACCACGAACCCCTGCGTTGAGCCTGGGCATATGTTTACGATTAGAACGCACTGTGCACACACATCTGTCTTGTTCACTCGCATAAAATCACTGAGTAATGGGGCTTGTGTACCAGTTATCGGTATTAAATTAGGTTCCAATCCATGTTTCTCACTACGTCACCTGATATACCCAATAACATCTTGGTATCTTTCAATGTTTTACTACCCGTGTATACAACAATATCCAACACCAGGCCACTGTCACAATCACAGAGTACAAACAATTTTTACCAAAGCGGTTCCTCTTGCTCGGTTTTATACTGCTTGAATGACAGTCACCTTTGAACAAAATCAAAGATCGTCAATTACAGATTCTTGAATGGATAAAAGTATATCCTGAACTTTTGTTTGGATACTGAAAACATTTCTAATCTTGTATAACCTGTCACTTCTGTCGGGCCTGGTTTTGTCAGAGAAGTGCAAATACGTACAGTAAGATTAACCTGTTTCACTGGTATTATTTCACTGAAGGATGGGGTACAAATTAGCCCATCTGTGGACCAGTTTTGCTTTTATTTATGCTTATAGACGTGAGGGGATAAGCATTATTGTTGCAAAAAGCAAAAAAACATTTCTGCAACAGTCGTCTCTTTCCACCTGTGTTTGTTTGACTGTGGTGATAAGTCGTATTTGCCATGGTGTACTGAAAATACTTATTACTTTCCCCGACAATAATTTCCATAATGGTGGTCAAAGAATAATTCAAGAATTCCAGTTCATTGGCCGTGGTTCCAAGGGGGGCAGGTAGGTAGAATTCCACTTTGCGAGTCATCAAAGTGGTGAGGGCTGGGAACAAAAATTTGGGGTTTTGCTGCCCAAACCCAGATACGGTTTGCTGGTGGATACTGGACATCATAGGTGGTTGTTTCGGGTGGTTGTGGCGGGCTGGTGGGTGACGCTCCCCTTTTTTCCTTGAACTGACGAGTCAGCAGCGTGGGTTTCCGCGTGGCCCCCAGCGAGTCACGCATGGCGGTGCCACTCCACCACCAGCCCCACTAACACCATCCACTGATGTCTGTGGCCCATCCATGCCAAGTGTAGCCACATCTTCCTCACTTCACTACCTAAAACGGGTGTAGGGCCCCGGGATGTACTCCGGGATGAACTCCCTCCCCTGGGCACAGCATTTGGGTTTCACTACCCGAGCGCATGCGGCGGCGAACATACCCACGCTTCACTGGTGAATATGTTTCCTCACTATCACTACTCGAATGATCGTCGAGCGCAATAAAATCACAATCAAGTCAAATCATCGTCATTACTGAAGTCAGAGCCAGGCCACGGAAAATATTGTTTTCTCTTACGTTTAGGAAAAAACCCACGTGAGCACGATGCCCACCCAGGTAGAAGGTCGAGGATCGTCGGGGTTTTCTGCATATTTCGATATCTGGTCATTATTTTTTCGGTCCATAACTTATCAAAAGCCCTAGGGAAATTTGTCTTCATTTTCCAACTTCCATCAGTGTCAAACTATCAGAAGGAAGAGGAGAGTCCCAATTTTCCAGGGAGTGAGAGCTGACTTGCGACGAGACATGGTGAACAAGGGTGACTGAGCCGGCGTTCCCACAATGCTATGCAGGCGCCTAGATTTTTTGTTTATGGCGCACACCCACGGCGCAGACCCATTCTCTCATATGTAGGCCTATGAGCGCTTTCGCGCTAAATTTGACGGCGCTAGAATTTTGGCGTAGATCTACGGTTTGGACACTCACCGACCAGCCGTAGATCTACGGGACGGACCCTGAAAGGGTTAATTTTCTTGGTTTTCATGATATGATAATCATGTTTTATAGTAAATCTTTTTATTTCAATGCCAATTGTTGTTTATATACCAATATTATATACAAAATTATCATCATATCGTCATAAACACACATGT